TATTCTCTGGCGAGTGGCCCTGATGAGATGGCGCCTTTGATTGCTGGAGCATGTGCGGATGATGTCGGAGTGGTTCTACCTGTACTGAAGGAGGTGACGCGTGTTGCGCCCGTGTCTGCCGCCGCCCAGGAGTTGGCGCACTTGCGCTTACAGAGTAAGAAATGCTTCGTGGTGCCGCTCTGGACTCGCGCCTCCCCTGAGGTGCAGGACTTCGTCGGGTCCCGCCTTCGGTCTTTTGCCCCGGCCTTTTCGTCCTTTCCCATCAGGGGTCGGGCCAAATACCTGGGGATGCAATTTGGACCTGAGGCCACTCTTGAGATGCAGTGGGAGGCACCGAGCACGAAACTCGGCTACCGAGTGCGCCTCGCTGCCTCAACGCGGGCGCTTGCGGAAGCCTCCTCTCGGCAGTGCAATTCTTGCTCTCTCCCTGTCCTGTCCTACCTCGTCCAGTTCTTTCCCCTCCCGTCCTTCCTCCTCCGCAGAGAGCAATGGCTTTTACATGAGCTCCTTCGGCTTCCCCGGAACACGTTTAAGCGCGATGAGATCCTTAGCCTTCAACAGTGGTTTCCTGGATCGGCGCCTGCGGCGATGGCGGTCCTTGGACGCTCGGCTGCGTGGCGGTTCGGGCTGCATTCGTGGGCGAAGGCCAGGGTTTTCACACGTCTCTTGAGAGAATGGCATGTGTGGCATGGCGCGTGTGTGCGACATGTTCGCGGGGAGTGGTCCCCGCCGTGTTGGGCCCAAAGTCGGTCGATTGCCCAATTTGTCTTGTCCGTCCTTGATGCCTCCCCCTCCGACGTTTTCTTTCGGACTGCCCTTCGAGAGGCGGAGCGGAGGGGGGTGGAGGAAAGGCGCGCCGCCTTAGAGGAAGGAAGGCGCCCTCGGATCCAGCGTATCCTTGCCCGCCCCCTCTCCTCGCCCCCCTTCCTGCCCGTCTTCACCTCCTCTTCCTCCGTCGCCTCCATGCCTGGTATCCGTCCCTGGAGCTTCCCACCCCTCGAGAGATGGAAGCGAGGTGGGCTCTCCTGAGACCGATTCTTTCACGTGCCCAACCCTCGTGGGCGTGGGCTCATTTGAAAAGTCTCGCGGGGATGGGTCACGACCGCCAGAATGCCCGTCCTCGCACGTAGGAGTTGTCGCCTTGGCTGCGAAGGGTGCGTGGACTCTCTTCCTCACTACCTCTGCTGTCCTCGGTTCCTCCACCTTCTAGCTCGCCATCGCCCTCGTGCTTTTCTCCCGTCCTGCCCCATGGCTCGGATTGGGCTTGGAGGCGAGGAGCACTATGACCGTCTCTTCTCGAGATCGGATGCTCATTGCTCGATTGTCCTTGCCTTCCACTTCTACCATAAACTCAAGGCGGAACAGGATGCCGCCCCTGCCTCTGCCTGCGACCTCGAATCTCATTTGAAGATTCTGCGAGGCGCCAGAATTGCAACGGGCGCCTGATATGTTGGATTGCTCCTCCTCCTCCTCCTCCTCCTCCTCCTCCTCCTCCTCCTCCTCCTCCTCCTCCCGTCCATCCCCCTCCCTCCAACTGATACTCTCCCGCCATACTTCCCCCTCCTACTGCAAACCCCCTTCTCCCCGCCGGCGTGGCGTCCTGGACGACGCGGCCGGGCCCCCGCGATGTCCCTGGAGCGCTCCCGAGTTTTCCCGCAGTCGGCCCCACGGGCGGGCCCCGCGCCCCCACAGTTCCCGACATTCCTCCGCGGTCGGCCCCAGGGTTCCCGCGATGTATTGGGTAGATCTAAAGGCTGCGCGGCCGCAAGCGTACCACCGCGTCCATCAGGAGAAGGAGGAGGAAGAAAGGGAGGAGGAGGAGGAGGAGGAGGAGGAGGATGAGGAGGAGGAGAAGGACGAGGACGACGACGAGGACGACGAGGACGACGAGGAGGAGGAGGAGGAGGAGGAGAAGGACGAGGACGACGACGAGGACGACGAGGACGACGAGGACGACGAGGACGACGAGGAGGAGGAGGAGGAGGAGGAGGAGGAGGAGGAGGAGGAGGACCACGGCGCCTCGCGTGCCCGACCAGCGCGCCAGTGCAGCTGGCAGCGCCAGACGCGGGCGCACGGCGCCGTCCGTGCCGCGGCGCCGCGGGCATCGCGCTGGCAGACGCGACGGCGCGAGGGCCCAGGCGCGGGGCCTCCCGGAGGCAGCGCGTGGAAGGGAGGAGGGGTCGCCATGTGAAAAATCCTGGGGTTCTGGCTGCCAGGTGCCCACGAATTTCGACGTGGCGGTCCCGTGGGGACTCCTTTGGACTTGGGGGGGTCGCCGGGTAGCAAATCCTTGGGTTCTGGCTGTCAGGTGCCCACGAATTTCGACGCGGAGGCCCCGTCGGGACTCCTTGGGATTTGGGGGGATCGCCATGTAACACATATGTTGGTTGTGGCTGCCAGAGCCCGCGGATTTTTGACGTGGTGGCCCAACGGGGGGTTCCTTTGGACTCGGGGGGGTCGCCATGTCAAACATATCTTGGGTTCTAGCTGCCAGGACCTTGCGATGTTTGACGTGACGACCCCATGGGGGCTTCTTTGGAGTCGGAGGGGGGGGTAGCCATGTCAAACATCCGTGGGTTCTGGCTGCCAGAACCGCAAGATTTGTGCTGTTGCGGCCCCATGGGGGTGACCGCCATGTCAAACATTCTTAGGTTCTGCCTGCCAGAGCTTTAGGATTTCTGACGTGGCGGCCGCGTGGGGCGCCATTGGATTCGGGGGGGTCGCCATGTAACAAATCCTTGGGTTCTTGCTGCCAGAACCCAGGATTTTGGACGTGTCGGCCCAGTGCGGGCTCGTTTGGACCCGGAGGGGTCGCCATGTAAAACATCATTGGGTTCTGGCTGCCAGCAATTCGCACGCCCACGAGCGGCGCAGGCGAGTGGGAGGACGCCGTGTCCCCAGCGACGCGGCAGGACGCCGGGGTGGTGCGCAGGCGCCGGGGGCGCACGTGAGCCACGACTTCGAGCACGCCCAGGCCCTGGCGGCGGAGCTCGCCAGGGCGGGCGACGCCCCCGGGCAGTACCGGAGCGAGCAGGAGGGGCGGAGCAGGAGCAGGGGGGGCTCGCCAGCGGAGGAGACGTCGCCGTAGACGGCCCGGCGAGCCCCAGGCGTTGCGCGCCTGTCTTCCCTGGGTTCTGCGCGCTCCGCCGCGCTGCCCGTCGCCCCTCTCGCGACGCGGGCTCCCGACTCTCGCCACTTGTGTAGTGGGCATGCTTCACGAAGTGGCACCCGAGCCGCCACTCGGCCGTCGAGGAGACGTCGCCACGGACGGGCGGCTGGCGCGTGACCAATAAGAAGTGAGGCGGCTCCCGAGTGACCGCCTTCTGCCCCTGAGCGCCGTTCCGCGGCCCTGCGGCCTTGCCGCGCGATGCTGCTGCCACGCCCTGCAGAAAGAGTCACGGGTGCAGTGAACAGCCGGGTGTAAAGCGGCCAGCGGCAGCCTCAAATTTTTGAGGCTGTGAAGAAGTTGGCCGTGGTACGGCCATCTTGCGGTCCACGACCCACTCGCGTACACAGCTATGTGAATCCACTTGCGCCCCCTCTGCTTACGCTGATTCGTTGAGGCGTATGTGCCATTTCCATGGGACCTGTCTGCCATCCCGCATCGTTTTGTTGCCGGCCCTGGAAGCCCAGGCCCAAGAAAGTGGTGGGATCAATCGCACCGCGGTCTCAGCGGCAGGCGGGTCACGGAACCGCGAATTCTGCGACAGCAAAAATTAGTGCCTTGATTTCCGCATGACATTTGATGTCTGGGGGCCTCGATTGCCGACTTCCCTTCGGGGCGAGCCCAGGGTTCCCTTCTGAGCCCGTTCTGCCCAGTGTGCTGCCAGCGGGCTACCTCCGCACCATCCCGTCGGAACCCAGCCCGGTCGGCGGCCCACTCGGCGGCCAAGTGGGCTCAGACGCCGAACCTGCTCAGAGGGGTATCCCTAGGGGGAGGGAGAGGTGAGAAGGAGGAGGAGGGAGGAGGAGAAGGAGGAGGGAAAGGAGGGGGAGGAGGAGGGAGGAGGAGAGAGGAGGAGGAGGAGAAGGAGGTTACGGAGGAGGAGGAGGAGGAGGAGGAGGAGGAGGAGGAGGTTACGGAGGAGGGAGAGGAGGAGGAGGAGGAGGGAGGAGGAGGAGGAGGAGGAGGAGGAGGGAGGAGGAGGAGGAGGAGGAGGACGGAGGACGGAGGACGGAGGAGGGAGGAGGGAGGAGGAGGAGGAGGAGGAGGAGGAGGGAGGATGGAGGAGGAGAAGGAGGAGAAGGAGGGAAGGGAAGAGAATAGGAGGCCGGCCTTGGATCTAGAGGTGGTGGATCGTCTGGACATCCGCTCAGGGTCGCCGCCGGAGAGACGCTGGGGGCGCCATCCCCACGATCGGCGGGAGGGGCCCTCCCCGGAGGGCGGAGGAGGTGTGGCTCTGAGTCCGCAGCCGCTGCACTTTGGGCGATGCCGTGAGTGCAAGTACGGTCGGACCGAGGTATAAGATCGAGGTCGGTTCGGGGAGGGTGCCCTCGTGTTTTTCGTGCTTGTTGGATGTTCTTGTGCAGCCTGAGGGAGGTTGCTCTCGAGTGATCTGATGGTCAGGAGTGTTTTGGCCGGCGGAAGGTCTCATGCTCTTGAAGGATGTTAGAAGGTCCGACCGTACTTTGGGCGATGTCGTAAGTGCGGGGAGGGCGGACATTATCGCCCTACTACTTTTTCAAGGTTTGTGGTGTCGATGTTCGCTCCACTTTTTCGCATCGGCTGGGGTGCGGCTCCGATGCAGTTGTAGGGCAGAAGAGCAGCCAAAGCACGGCGGATCCAGAGTCAGGGGAAGGGGGAGTGGAGGAGGAGGGAGGGAGGGGCAATGAGGGAGGGAAGGAAGAGGGAGGAGGAGGGAGGGGGGGAGGGAGAGGAGGAGGAGGGAGAGGGGATCCCGACGGAGGGGCAGGCAGGGAGGGAAGGATGAGGGAGGAGGGCCAGGAGCAGGCGGGGTGAGCGGAGGGGTAGCGGCCAAGGGGTGGCCGGCCGTTTCCAGGTCGCCGACGCGCTGCGTTGTGCGGGCGCGGCGGGCCGCGAGCTCTTCGGGCCCGAGGCCCGGCAGGGGGGGCCCTTGTCGGTGGAGGGCGTGCCTCGGAGGAGGAAAAGGTACCCATACCGCTGCCCTTCCCTCGCTTTCGCCTTTCCGAGCCTCCTGGGAGGCCCTCGTGGCCACTGCTGGATTCGCCTCGAAATCCTGGTCAGAACGCACCCCGGGAGAGGTCCGGGGAGTAGCGGTATCAGTACCTTTTGATATCGTTCGTGCGCTATGAACCTTGAGGATGCTCTGAACAGTGCCAGAGCAGCCAGGGCTCTCTTCCTACGGACCTGCCAGAATGCACAGAGCATGCCTGCCCAGCGCGAACTTGTTGGTGCGCCCTTACGTACGAAGGTGTTATATCGATGTGTTGATATACATCGATTCCTTCTACTTGCTTGTGAAATTGCATGGAAAGCATGGCATGTCGTCACCCCCCTGGGGCCCGCAGGTATAATTAGGCCTACGGCCTCCTCTGATTGCCGAAGAGGCCCCCAAGCAAGCTCAACAATGCCCTGAGACGGCCAAGAAAACCTGAGGAGAGTGCCCCGAGGCCTACATCGGGCCCCAAAAACTTTGCAGACGGCTTTAGAAAGGCTTGAGACGGCCTTCAGGCGGCCCGAGAGCGCTCCGAGAGGGGCTTCTACACGACCGCAGAGCCTTTGAAGACGGCCGAAGAGGCCCCCCAGAGGGTCCCCGAGAGTCGAAATCGTCATATTCTTCTCGGGAAACGCACATGTTTCGCATGTTCGCTCCTTCGGTCCAAACAGCATCCAAAATTGCGCAAGGGCCCCCCGATAGTTGCTAAGAAATTCGATGGACGTCCTAAGGATTCCTACGGATGTCTTAAGGATTTCTATCGATTGCCTAAGAAATCGCATGGATGTCCTAAGGATTCCGATGGATCTCCTAAGGACTCCGATGGTTTTCCTAAGGAGTCCTATGGCTTTTCTACGGTGCCCTTGTTCCCCGAGCTATCCCACCACCCTCCTGTCCGAGTCCCACCGCCCCCTCAGGCCCGTGGTGGCATCTCAGAGGCCTCCTGCCCAGCGTTCAAGAGCCTGCCTCGGCATATCCTTCCCAGGAGGAGGAGAAGGCCAATCCCGCCCGTGGCTCGAGCCGAACTGGCTCTGACCTTTTCTGTCCGTGGCGTCTTCCCCCCTTCTGCCCCATCGGTCCGCGCGGATGCGGCTGTCCCTGCGCACCGTCGCCGGTAGCGCGCGTGGTTGCCGACGTCTTGCGGCCCAAGTATCGATATGCGAGGTTGCGCTTTCAGCCTCGAGATGAAACATGTGGATCGCGGGTACTGTGCATACTCCTCCACGGGCTCTTGCGTGAGGAAAACGAGAAAGCGGAGGGAGGGGCATGGGTGAAGAGGAGGAGGAGGAGGAGGAAAAGGAGAAGGACAAGGAACAAGGACAAGGACAAGGACAAGGTAGAGGGGGAGGGGGGGAGAATGGGGAAGGGCAACAAAAAGGGAGGACGGGCGAGTGCGAGGAAACGGGATGGCGTAAGGCTGGGTGCCCCCATTGCCCGATCCATGCCACCACCGCTCCGCCCTTTGCAGTCTAGGGTGGCGTCTATTTCCGCGCGACCGCCCAGCATCTTCCCAGGCACCCTTTCGGGCAGCCTTCGTGGCTCGAGCCGGGTCGGCTCGAGCCTCTTTTCTCGGACCGCGCCCTGCGGGCGCGCCGTCCTGGATGCGGCTGTCCCTGTGCACCGTCGCCGGGCGCGAGCTCGTCGCCGTGGACGGCGTCGACCCGTCCTGGCGCCTGAAAGACGTGCTCGAGGCGGCGCCGCCCTGGGGTGAGGGCGAGGCGCCGGACGGCAGGGTGCGCCTCTGCCTGGGGGACGCGGAGCTGCGCGGGGACGCCACCCTCGCGGACCTCGGGGCTGGCGGCGGGGACGGCAGCAATGTGGTCCTTGTCGTCGTCGTGGCACCGCCGTTCCGCGTCGCGTCCGCATGCAGCGGCGGCGAGGCGAGGATCTGGTCCACCTCGTCGGGGCGTTGCCTCCGCGTGCTGGCTGGTCACGGGGCGGAGGTGAACGCTGTTGAATTTTCGCCCGATGGACAGCTGGTGCTGACTGCGTCCGTGGACGGAATTGTGAGAATCTGGTGCGCGGTGTCGGGGGAGTGCGCTCACACGTTGGCGGCGCACACGGACGTGCTGAGCTCGGCGGTGTTCTCCCCCGCTGGCCGAGAGGTGCTGACTCTCTCCATGGACGGTGCCGCAAAGATCTGGTCCACCGACTCTGGAGACTGTTTGCACACATTCAGGGTTGACCAGGACCCCCTGCGCAGAATCAGTTTCTCGCCCAATGGGCAGGAGGTGATGTCAATGACAGCGGATGGCGTCGTGAACACTTGGTGCATCTCCTCAGGGGATTGTCGCCTCACCCTGGAGGACGAGGACAACTTTGTTTGTGCTGCCTTGTCCTGTGACTATTCACCATGTGGGCAATATCTGCTGACCTTCTCTCGCGAATGCCTGGCAGAAGTATGGTCAGCTGTCACTGGGGAGTGCTTGCACATCCTCGAGGCCGATGAAGAAGAGTTGGTTTTCTCTGTGGTGTTCTCCCCAGATTGCCAAACGGTGCTGACCAGCCTTCTCAGCGGTTCTGCACGACTGTGGTCAGTCACCTCAGGGACGTGCCTGCACCATGTGCAGGGTCGCGAGCGCTGGAGTCCACCTCAGCCAAGTATCTTCGCACCTGATGGGCAGAGTGTGGTGCTTGGTGACGAGGACGGCACATTAGGAATTTGGTCGGTTAACACTGGGCAGTGTCTGCTCACACTGCGCGGGCACAATGAAGCGGTGAGATTTGCTGTCGTCTCACCTGACGGGCTGGGGGCACTGACTACCTCGGAGCAGGGCATCGTCAAGATCTGGTGCCTCACCTCTGCAGCCTGCCTGCAGACAATCGAGGACAATGAGCACCCAGTGTGGTCCGCCACGTACGCGCCCGACGGACGGGAGCTGCTAACCGTTTCAAAAAACGGCTCTTTGATCCTGCGCTCTGCCACTTCTGGAGACGGCATGCACGTGTTCGAAGCTCGCGGCGCTTGTTTCTCAGCTGAGAAACAAGTATCCCGGTGAGCAGCCTCAATGATGTGCCTGGCGTTGCGTGGACATCATCATCATCAGCTACAGCGCCGGGACCAGCGCGTGCTGTAAGGGTGAGCAGTAGCGGGGGGCGTCGGCGCTGCTGAGCGCAATATGGGAGACGACGCTGGAGCCCAACGCTTGGCATCGCTCGGACGTGTGTATTTTTTCCTCGGCGAGGACCGTCGAGGAGCATCTTCGATGATTTGCGGAAGAATATACGCACGACACGAAACCATGGCGAGAACGTCGTCTCTGCTGCAATGCCGGGGCCCGCGCGTGCCGAAAAGCCGTTCCGTGGCAGTGGGGCCGCTCCCCCCCAGGGGGTCCTCCCGGGCTGGTCTTCGGAGCTCTGCGACGGTTCCGGCGAGGCTCCGAGCCGCCCTGGAGGCCTCCAGTGTCGCCCAAGATGTTTCCAGTATCCACCGAGCGCGTTCCGAAAACACAGGTTTGCCTCGATAGAATGGATCGTAAATCCCCACGGTGGATCCAGGCCATTTGCGAGCAGGTACTGTGTGAGTAGTGGAACGCGCTTGCCTAAAGACAGCCCAACAAGGCTTCAAGATGGCCCGAGATGGCGTCCAGAGGGCCCAACAGGGCCCCGAGACTGCCCAACACGGCCTCAAGACGGCTTCAGAGGCCCCAGAGTCGGCACAACAGGGCTCCAAGCGGAGTTTGAGGAAGGCCCGAGGCGGGCAAAGTCATTGATTGTCTTGCGTTCTGAAAATAGTCTAGAGGTCTTCGGCGCCCCTTGGATTTCGCCTGAAAGTTCTGGGGGGGGGCCCGCGCGAGAGGGCGAATTGCCGTCCTCGCCCAGATTCCTTGCGCATTGCGCTCGGGAGTAGCGTTCCAGTGCGGGCGCGGCGCATGGCTCGTTCGCCGAAGCGCACGACAGCGACAGCGGCCGCGGGTCCGCGCGAGAGCGTGCGAAATGTCTACCTCGTCCACATTTCGCGCAGCTGACATTTGATCGGGCCTGTCTCTTTCTTCACAGGAGGAATATTCCAAAATGGAATTAGTTGAAAAATAGTCTGGTGACGATTGTTTGAAGTATCTTTTGATCATGTTTGATTTTCCCATTTTTCGCCCTGAATCCGCCTGTAGGGGGACATGCCCGACCGAAAGCTTGTAAGTGAAAGGGGCAGTGCTGTATCCGCGCGGCGCATGCTCCGTTGTCGCCGCGCCCAGCACACGTGTTGCCGATCCCTCCCCTGCGCGGCCCGCGTAGCTTTCTCTTCGCCGAGGCGTCGGAAGCGGGGCCACGCGCGAGCGCCTGCAGTTGGCGAGGTGGGAGGGCGCTCCAATCCCAAGACCAGTTTGTGCCACAGGTGGTCGTTGTGTTGTGGGAGGGAGGGCGGGAATAGACGGGGCTCCCTGGCTCGCTCGAGCCGGGGAACCTGACTCCCGCTCCTATCCCCCTTCCTTGTTGGAATCTGTTCTCACTCTGCCACCCAGCCCGCCGACAGCAACCCAATCCGGGTGGTCCCATCCAACTCATCAGAAAAACACTACAACATCATTGCTGTTTGAGTCAACATGGACATTCAAACCTGTTTTTAGGGTCTGGGCGATAACGGCCGTGATCGGCACTGCCCCCCGCCAGATCACGTCACGCTATTTCGCCCAGAGTCGCAGAGATTTGCCACGGATTCTTCGAGGATTTCCCACGATTTCCGGCGGCCCCCGCCAGTATGTGATCGGGGGGCACGGATTCCGCCCATCCCCCCTCCCCCCGATCACGCCCGTTATCGCGAGTAATGCAAAAACAGAGTCTCACGTCATCTAGTTTGAAAAATGCGAGGCAGGACTCGCGCGGGACGCGCATCCCGCGCGACAGGCTGACATCTCGGTTTCGTTTCGGCGCCGCGCTCCGCTTTTCCAGGAGACTTGAGCTCCCGCTGGGACGCGGCGCACCTTTTCCGCACTCGTGTCCGCCGACGAGCGGGCGGACGAAAACGTCGCTCACGTCTCGGCGCCACGCACACTTTGCTTGAAAGTGGCGTTCCTGCCTCGACGCGGCGCACATTTCTCAATCGTCAATTTGGGGGCGAGGGCTGCGCGAGCGGGCGACTTGTCACCCTCGCCCAAAATGCCCTGCGAACTTGGTTCGAAAGCGGTGTCGCAGCGCGGGCGCGGCGCATGGCTCGTTCACCGAATCGCGCGAACGTGACAGCGGCAGCGGGGCCGCGCGAGAGCGGGCGAAGTGCCGACCTCGCCCAAGTGCCGTGTAGTGTGTGAGTGAAAGTGGCAGTGCTGCGTCTGCGCGGCGCTTGCCTCGTTTTCGCCGTGCCCATCGAACCTTTTGCCGCTCCTGTCCCTGCGCGGCCCGCGCAGCTTTCTGTTCGCAAAATCGTATGAAGCTGGGCCGCGCGCGAGAGCGCCTTTCGTCTGCGAGGTGGGAGCGCGTTCCAGTCTCAACATCAAGTTGTGCCACATTTGATTATTATGTAGTGTGTGTGTGTGGGGGGGGGGGCAGGCGAGGTCCTCTGATTCGCTCGACTTGGCTACCTTGATCCCTATTCCAAAGCTTACCCTATTCGCACTCCGAGTCTATTTTCGTACAACCTACTCCGCTCAATTATATGTTCGTTCTTGCAGGCGAGACCATGCGTATAGCAGAGAAAACCATTCGGATAGTTTGGACGAAGCCTTTCGAATAGCAGAGGAGCCCATGTGGATAGTGCGGCGCGCCCGGGCGGCAGCCCAGGTCTTTGGGAGAAAAGTAGCGCGGCACCGAGGCGAAAGCGACATTTCGGTCTTTCGTGCTGGATGTGCGTCCTGTCCCATTCTTGCCACGCAATTTGCAATCTGACGATATAGTGTCAATCAATGTTGAGACGAAAACATATGAGCTTGCTTATGTTTTGACAAGGAGGGTTCCCCCCCGGATGAGGTCCGTATCGGCCGGCTACATGGCAGAGTGAGAGTATATGCCAACAGGGAGTCTGGATAGGAGTCAAGTTTGCCAAGTCGAGCAATTCAGAGAGCCTCGCCCACTACCACCCTCCCTCCTGCAACATAATAATCAACTGTGGCTTGCCCTCTTCATAGCGTCCAGGACGGCTATACAGGGGCCCGAGATGGCCCCAGGACGGCTCCTGAGGCGCCCCTGGCGGCCCACGGGGTACAGCCTCAAGAGCGGGCCAGGGCGGCCCAACACGATCCCCACATGGTGCCCAGACTGCTCCAGAGACGTCCAAGACGGCCCCAGACAACCCCTAGACGGCCGCGGACCGCCTCTACACGGCCCAGGGGGGACCCGAGACAGCCCCAGGAGGCTTCTAGGAGGCCGAAAAGATCCGCTGAGAGGCTTCTAAACGATTTAGAGGTTCCAAGGTCACGGCCCAAGAAGCACCGAAGACGGCACCAACAGCAGCCCAACACTGCCTAAGACGGCCACAGACGGTCCCAAAACGGCTCCCAGCGCACCATGGGGCTCTGATGCTTGCATGGCGCTCCCTGCCGAAAATCCCTCGCCCTGCTGGTGGCCTCTCCGCGGCCTCTTGAGGCCATGCTGTGTTTCACTCTTCTGGTGGCCTAGAATCGCCTCGTCTGGGAGGGTTTCACTGCTTCGGGAGGTTTTTGAAACATGCCCTACAGGTCTCTTGGCGGGTATTGGCAGTGCCCTATTATGATTGGGCAGGTTTTCGACGCTATTCTGGTCCACTTTGGACCATCTCCGGCTCCTATCGGCGGTCATTTCGGGCCATGATTGTGGCTTCATTGGGTATTTTGGCGGGTCTCGGCCCTACCCGATCATGATAGGGCAGGTTTTCGACGCAGGTTTTCGACGCCATTTGGACCCACTTTGGACCATCTCCGCCAGTGGCAGCAAGCACGGGTACACACTAGTCTACATTACAATGCCGGGAACAGCGCGTGCGAGAAGGGTATCTGCACCGAGTGCGCTCCCGCGCCCCGACAACACTACGACGGCTCCGAGACGCTCCAGAGGCCGCCTCGACGGCCCCATGACGGCCCCGACCCGCTCAAGAGGGCGCCCCGACGACCCCAAGAGGGTTCCGAGCCGTTCCAGAGGCCGCCCCGACGGCCCCAGGAGCGTTCCAAGCCTCTCAAGAGGCCGCTCCGACGGCCCCAAGGGCCCCCAGGGCAGGCCAGGAGCCTCCAAAGACGGCCCCCGAGAATTCCCCAGGACAGCCCCGGGATGCAAAAATCATGTTTATTCCCATCGAGAAATTTACATGTTTGGCATTCTCGTGCATTTCGTTTCCGACGCGTCCACGACGGCCACAGAGCCTCCCAAGATCGGCTCCAGATGCCCCCTATCAGGGCCCCGACACGGGCCCACGACGGCCCAAGAGGCCCAAGACAGCTCCACAGACGGCCCCAGACGACGGCCCGAGACAGCCCGAAGACGGCCCAACAGGCGCCCAAGACGACGGCCCAGAAGGCACCCAAGACAGCCCCAAGAGCCGCCCTAGACGGTCCACGACGGCCCCTAGACGGCTCAAGAGGCGCTCAAGATTGCCCAGGACGGTCCCGAGACGACCCAAACTGCACCGACGAGAGCTCCAGAGGGCCCCCAGATGCTTCCTCGAAGCCGAAAAGAAGCCCTTAGAGGTCCCCACACGGCCGCCAAGAGGCCATCAGTGTCTACATACTTCCCTCCAACAGAGGGGGGGCGGACGAAAGGTGAGGGGCAGAACGCAGGCCCCAAACAGCCGTTTTCCATGCTCCGAGGGTCTACGATTGACGATCCAAGATCGAAGGCATGCAGCATCATCGAGGAAAGAAGGTGGAGGAGGAGGAGGAGGAGGAAGAGGAGGAGGAGGAGGAGGAGGAGGAGGAGGAGGAGGAGGCGCAGGACGAGGAGGAGGAGGAGGAGGAGGAGGAGGAGGAGGAGGAGGGGGAAACCCGAGAAGGCCTAGAAGAGAGCCACATGATGGTCCAGATGAAGTCCAAGAGGCCCAAAGAGGCTTCAAACCTGCCTCCAAGAGAGGGGGCCCGGCGCTCCTGACACGCCCGACAGAGCTTCGCCTTCAACAGAACTCCAACAAAATGGACTCCCCAACGTAGCGAAGCACGTCCGACCCAACAGCGGTTCCTGTTGAGATCTTATGAAATTGCAACCCTCTTGAAGCTCTCAAGCTCTCTTGGGCCCTCCCTGGAGATCCTTGCGATCCTCCCCGGCGCTGCCGGTTGCTTTCCCCGAGGGCCTCCCGAGCCCTTCCTGGGGCGTTCCTGAGACGCCTCAGATGGGCTTCGACTTTAACGCACATCTCCGAGAGACTTCAAAACTGCCATCAATAGGAGGGGGGCGAACGAGCCATGCGCCGGGGCCAAGCTGCTGGAGCGCTGCAGGAGCTCGGACGCGAAGGCGCAGTCTCGCTGTGGCCGCCCTGGCCGCTGCCGTGCTTACGTATAGGTTCTCGGCAAAGTCTCCGCCGTTCCTCCGAGAACCATTCCAGAAAGATGTCGTGGACGGAGTCCACGGGTCAGCCCTAGTCTCTACTACATTGCAGGGCCCCGCGCGTGTGAGAAATGCGGGGGTCGGGCTCCTCTGGCGCCCCCTGCGGGCCCTGCCCCCAAGAAGCCCCAGACATGGTCTCAGAGGGCCCCAACCACGGCCACCCCGCATCAGCAGTTAGCAGGTAAGAGTGAGGGGCCGGAGGCGTCCGCGGAGACAGAGGCCATCCCACGTGGCCCCAACACGTGACCTCCTTGCGCGGCCTCCAACAGAGGCCCGCAAACGTGGCCACCTCACTCTGACTTTGCCTGAAAACCCTTGTGTTGTTGCTAATCGCGCCCAGGCCCGGCGCGATTAGCAAAAACCCATTCCTTTTCACGCTTCCAGGTCAGTGCCCCCAGAGCTTCCCGACTGCTTTCCGGGGTGGCCCCCAGACGTGGCCCCTTAAACGTATGCCCCACGTGACCCCCACGGCATTCTCTCACGGTCTCAGATACCGCCGTTACCCAGGTCTCGCAGTATTGGTGACAACGGGGGGGGGCATTCTCATGCGCTCGCAAGCCCCAGACCAAGCCCCATACCCCGCCCCGAGCCCTGGACACTCCGACCTATTCCAGATCTTCTCCACCACCTCCTGGCGCTCCACAGCCGCACCACGCTCCAGACCCCGCCCTGGCGCCCAGACCACTCCGACCACTCTAACCTGTCGCGCACACCACACCGAGCCCTACTCCATTCTGAGCTGCCTCAGACCCTCTCAAGCGCCTCCTGTATTACCCCAGGCGCGCCACGCCGCAGACCCCAGCCTGGACCCTGGACCACTTTAAGCTCCCCCTGACCTTCTCGAGAGCCTCGCCCTCAGAGCTCTTGAAGACCCACAGCTTCGCTTCCTCCTCTCCGAGCCTGCTCTCCCCCCATCTCCAGTCATCACCGCTCTCCTCCTCCTCCTCCTCCTCCTCCTCCGCCTCCTCCTCCTCCGCCTCCTCCTGCAAGAGGCTGCAGCAGGACTGGACTGCGGGAAGCCTTCGATGCCACAAAAACCCTCCAGGGACCACCCCGAGATAGCCCAGACCTTCCAAGACACTCGAGGACAGTCACCAGCCCCGGTGCCTGGAGCCTGCAGCAAACCCTGGAGCAAACTTGCAGGCGTGGGCGACACATGCGCGTTCGGCACCAATACCTTAACCTGCCAGCCGTTGAATGTCCACGGGTTCACACTAGTTAGCTACAACGCTGGGATGAGTGCGTGCGAAAACGGCAGGCAGTGGCAGCGGGCTTTGGCTGGCGCTGCTCAGCGAGATGCGGGAGGCGAAGCTGGAGCCAACATCGTCAGCTTCAACGCTGGGATCAGCGCATGCGATAAGGGCAAGCAGTGGCAGCGGGCTTTCTCGCTGCTCAGCGACATGTGGGAGGCGCAACTGGAGCAGAACGTCATCAGCTATAACGCTGGGATCAGTGCCTGCGAGATCGGCGAGCAGTGGCAGCGGGCTTTGGCGCTGCTCAGCGCGATGTGGGAGGCGAAATTGGGGCCCAACCGCATCAGCTACAATGCTGGGGTCAGCGTGTGCGTGAAGGGCGAGCAGTGCCAGCAGGCTTTAGCTCTGCTGAGCCAGATGCGGGAAGCTAAGCTGGAGCCCACTGTCATCTGTACTACAATTCTGGGCGTTGCGCGTGCGAGAAGGGGTTGTAGTGAAAAAGCTGCCCTCGAGCGCCTGAAGCGCCCCGGCGCTGTCCGACGGCTCCAGAGAGCCCATCGGTGGCCCCAAGATGGCTTCTGACAGCTCCAAGACAGATTTGAGACGATCCAGAGCGCGCGAGGACGGCCCAAGAAGACCCGAACGGAATCCCATGACTGCCCAAGACGGCCCGACGAATGGCCAGCAGGTGCTTCGGAAAACAGCTGAACCGGACCCCGATGACGGTCCCCCGAGGCCAAAATTATAGGTTCCCCTCGGGTTTTTGAGCGTTTTTCATGTTCTCACCATTGCGAGCCAAGAACGGCCAGACGGCTCCATGGCCATCCCAGATCGTCCCAAGACGGTCCAGGAGGCTTGGCTAAGTGCCCCAAGACGGCCCCAGAGGACCCGAAGATTGCCCAGGAGAGGACCAAGACAGCCTCACAGAGCCCTTGCCCCCAAGACAGCCCCAAGAGGGCCCTAGGAGCTGGACCAACAGGCACCAAAGCGAGCTCCAAGACGTTCAGAGACCCCCCACATGGCCCCAGGGCGGCCCAAGAGGCTCCCGAGACGGCCCAAGAAAGCCCCGAAATGGCCCAAGAGGGCCCCCAGAGGCTCCGCAGAGACCTCCACGAGGGCCCGAGGAGGGAACGAAGGGAGCCCAGACGACGCCTTTCCCGCAGCCCCCACTGAGCCAAGAACCTTCCAAGGACCACTCCCACATGCCCCAGAGTCTCCCAGGGGACTCCGATGATCCACAAGGATCCCACAAGGAGAGTGCCTCGAGCTACAGCGCCCTTACGCCGTCTCCCGAACCCTAAACGCCCCCAAGAGAGCCTCAGACCCCCAAGGCAGGCCCCAGACCACTCCGAGATGCCCCAGAGCCTCCCAGGAGACTCAGGTAGTCCCCACGAAGCTTCCCAGAGCGGTCCCAGGGCCATTCTGAGATGCCCCAGAGTCGCCCACAAGATTCCGACGCTTGCCAAGAGACTCCGACAGCTTCCACGGAGCTCTCAATAGCGGTCCCAGGAAGAGACTCCCATGGTTCTCACGGAGCTCCCCAAAAACGATCCCAGGACCATTCCGAGATGGCCCAGAATCGCCCTCAAGACTTCCCCCCCTACGGCCGATTGGGGGTGACAGGGGGGACTTTCTCCTCTGATCTCTTTCTCGTTCCCTCATCAAGGCTCTGGCCGCTTTGGGGCCTCCACTCCGCCTGTCACGGGTGACAGGGGGGACCTGCAGCCACTTCGTTCGCTCCCCCTCTACGGCCAATTAGAGGCGACAGGGGGGGGGACCTGAAGACACTGCGGGGACCATCATTTCATTCCCCCCTACAGCCGAGTAGAGCCCTCGGTGGCCCCCAAGACAGCCCCAAGACCACGGGATCCTTCCCTGCACCACTCCGAGATGGCGCAGACCCCCCAGGATATTCGAAGACAGCCTTCAGCCCCAGCTCCAGGGGCCTGCAGCGAACCCTGCAGCTGATCTCGGGGCTGACAGGCGGACCTTCTGACAGCAACCTCACAGCACGCACGCAGCAGAAGTTTTCCGGGCTGTCCAAACCGCAAGAGTCAAGAGGCCTTCAAGACGCCGCAGGCAGGCTCGCAGGAGGGCCCAGCATGCCCCCGACACGGCCCCGGGGACGCCTGAGCTGTTCAACTTCGACGAGCTGTTCACCCACTGTGTGCGAGCCCCAGGTTCAGCACACCGTGGATTTAACCCACGGGTTCGCACCAGTCTCTCCCACATGGCCGGGGGAAGCGCGTGCGAGAAGCCCAGGGCCTCAAGTGCACAACATCGCTCCTTCACGGCGCCACCACGGGGCCGAATCGCTCAGGCCGGTCCCAGAGGCGCTCCAGAGAGGTTCCCAGATCGTCCAAGAGCGCTCCAAGACGGCCTCAGTGGGTCCCGAGACGGCCCACGAGGGCCCAGAGCCTTCCGGCGAAGGCTCCACCACGATCCAAGAGGCCGCAAAGACGCCCCAAGAGGGCCCCGAGCGCACGCCAAAGAGGCACAACTCGTTAAATTCCGATAGGAACATGTATATTTTCAGCATGCCCGCCTTGTGTGCTCCTCAGCGGCCCAGGACACGCCAAGAGGCCTCCCAAATCGCCCCAAGAAGACGCCAGCGGCCCCTAAGAGGGCTCCAAGACGGCCCACAAGAGCCCCAAGACGACACCAGAGAGCCCTGAAACGGCCTCACAGAACCCGAAGACGGCCCCAAGAGAGCTCCGAGGGGGCCCCGAGAGGCTCCCAAGACGGCCTCAGGCAGCCTCAAGAGAGCTCCAAGACGGTCCAAGGCCTCCTGGACGCCCCGTGACGACCCAAAATGGCCCCAAGACGTCCCAAAACGCTCCCAGAGCAGCCCGCAAAAGCTTCAGAATGGCCCGAAAAAGACCCCCCGCAAGGACCACCAAGCAGGCCCAGAGACGCCCATTAAAGGAGCGATCGGTGAAGTACAAAGCTCTTCACACCAAGGGTCCCAAGAGCGAGCCGCAGCGCAGAGAGCTCTCCCAGGCACAGCTCCCAAGAGCGAGCGGTGACGTGACCAGCCCTTCACACAGGGGCTCTCAAAAGCGAAGGGCGCCATGAGCCATCTCGGGCCATCTCACACGTGTTCGCGGGATGTATGCATGCTTGCAGGCCTGTGTGCATGAATGCGGGCACGCGTATGACTGAGTGTAAGGATGTATTGAAGCAGTTGTGTATATGCATGTCGTCGTACATGCGTACGTATACATATAACGGGGGACTGGGTCCCGGGGCCGGGGCCCGCGCCACGACCACAAATGTGGGGCCCGGGCGTCGTTTTCCCTATGTTTTTTTCCGGGTTTCGGCGACCCGGGGCCAACAGGGCCCCAAGAGGCTGCAGGGAGGCCCCAGGAGGCCGCAGCGATGGCTCCAGACGCCTTCAAGACAACTCCCATGACGCCAAGAAGGCCCCCGAAGGCCCCGAAGACGCCCCAAGAGGCACCCCGAGAGAGGCCCAATTAGCAAACATCGTCGATTTCCTATGGGAAACTCATATTATTGTCGTGTTTGCGGTTTGGGCGTCCACTGCGTCCAAGACGGCCCAAGAGGCTCGCAGGCCGGTCGAGGATGCCTCCAAGAGGGCTCCAAGACGGCTCACGACGAGGGGGCCAAGACGGCCCATGAGGCGCCCAAACCGCCCAAGAACGCCCCAAGGCGGCGCCCGAAACGGGGACGAGGAACCGGAAATTCTGGCCTTTTGGCCCAAGAGACCCCCAGGAGACCCCAAGAGGCTCCAAGAAGGGGGCCCGAAGCCCCAAGAGGCCCTCATGAGACCAGAAACATCACCAAAAGAGGCTCCGAAGTCGCCCCAAGAGGCACCCCGTGAGTGGCCCAATAAGTAAGAATCGTCGACTTCTTATGGGGAAACTGTTATTCCCAACCATCCTGTGGTGTTGGGTCCTCGTTTTGAAGAGACGGTCCCCGCGTTCCTTTCCTCTTCTCCTCCTCTCCTCCTCCTCCTCCCCTCCCTCCTCCTTCTTCCATGCGTTTCACCCACCCAGCACAGCGCTTCGTGGCCCCATCGGGAGCTCCACCGAAGCCCCCAGTGGGACCGCCCGCATGCGCCCCCCACACCCACTTTGGCATTTTCACCCACCAAGTACAGCGTTTCGTGGCCCCATAGGGAGCTCCACCGAAGCCCCCAGTGGGACCGCCCGCATGCGCCCCCCACGCCCAATTTTGCATTTTCACCCACCCAGTACAGCGCTTCGTGGCCCCATCGGGCGCTCCACCGAAGCCCCCAGTGGTACTGCCCGCATGCGTCCCCCACACCCAATTTGGCATTTTAATCCACCCAGTACAGCGTTTCGTGGCCCCATAAGGAGCTCCACCGAAGCCCCCAGTGGGACCGCCCGCATGCGTCCCCCACACCCAATCTGGCATGGTCACCCACCCAGCACAGCGTTTCGTGGCCCCATAGGGAGCTCCACCGAAGCCCCCAGTGGGACTGCCCGCATGCGTCCCCCACACCCACTTTGGCATTTTCACCCACCCAGTACAGCGTTTCGTGGCCCCATAGGGAGCTCCACCGGAGCCCCCGGTGGGACCGCCCGCATGCGTCCCCCACACACAACTTGGCATTTTCGCCGGCCCACTACAGCGCTTCGTGGCCCCATGCGGAATCCCATCGAATCCCCCAGTGGGACCGCCCGCATGCGTCCTCCACACCCGATTTGGGTGGGTGAACATGCCAAATTGGGCGTGGGGGAAACATGCGGGCGGTCCCAGTGGGGCTTCGGTGGAGCTCCCTATGGGGCCACGAAGCGCTTCACTAGGTGGGTGAAAATGCCAAATTGGGTGTGGGGGACGCATGCGGGCGGTCCCACTGGGGGCTTCGGTGGAGCTCCCTATGGGGCCACGAAGCGCTTCACTAGGTGGGTGAAAATACCAAATTGGGCGTGGGGGACGCATGCGGGCGGTCCCACTGGGGGCTTCGGTGGAGCTCCCTATGGGGCCACGAAGCGTTGTACTTGGTGGTCGAAAATGCCAAATTGGGCGTGGGGGACGCATGCGGGCGGTCCCACTGGGGGCTTCGGTGGAGCTCCCCATGGGGCCACGGAGCGCTGTGCTGGGTGGGTGAAACGCATGGAAGAAGGAGGGGGGAGGGGAGGAGGAGGAGGAGGGGAGGAGGAGGAGAGGAGGAGGAGAAGAAAAGGAAAGGATCGCGGGGACCGTCTCTTCAAAACGAGGACCCAACACCACAGGATGGTTGGGAAAAAGAGTCCTCGAATTCGCCCTAAGGGGCACCCCAATAGAGCCCCACTAAGCAAACATCGTCGATTTCTTATGGGGAAACTGTTATTTTTGGCGTGTGCGCCTTTGGGCGGCTTCCACTGCGTCCAAGACGGCCCAAGAGGCACCAAAGCCGGTCAAGCTGGTCGAGGATGCCCCCAAGAGGGCTCCAAGACGGCCCACGACGAGCGGGCCAAGACGGCC